GCCTCTCCGGCTGCTGCGCTGGGTCCCCTGGCCACAGGTGACCCCTTCCCCCAAGTCCCGGGCTGCCGCCACCTCCTCTCCCCGAGGGAGGACGCTGGCACGCGCCGAGGGGCACCGGGCGTTGGGAACCGCACGGGGCTGGGGGCCGAGATCGCCGAGGGTCGGTGTCCCGGCACTTAGGCGTCTCCTCTGCCGGAGCCCGCCGAGGGTCTCTGTGACCCCCCGGCCCGGCCTGCGCTCCGGTGTTCGGCTCCTTCCCCGCTTCCGTAGTGGCCAGGCCTGCGGAGGTCATCCTGAGGTCCGCTCCAGATCTTGGGGCTCGGCCTTTAGTAAACTCACCGCGGGCAACATCGTACAGGATTTGCTGTCTTCAGAGAGCTCTGGGGCATTTTAACCAGGTTCAGGGTTTGTGTGCCAGATGAAATTGGCATTTACCGTAGTTTCTTTGTGTGTGTGTGTTTTCTTTATTTTGTTTCTTTCAAGAGAAAGTGAGAGCGCGGCACAGGCTAGTCGGCCCGCTAGGCAGTTTCGTGGGTGCCCTGGGCTGTTTCAGGTCCCCTAATCCCTGTGCCTCCAGCCCTGCAGATCAGCTGCTTCCTACTGCCCTGGCCACTGAGTCCAGGCCGGCCCACTCCCTCCACCCTCCATCTCCCCCTCCACCCACTTTCCTCTAAAACTCAATTTAGGAAAACGAAGTTAAGGAAAATTAGTATTCCTGTGGGTCAGGAGCGCCCACATGGAGGTGAGGCTAGGTCAGGTTCCGCACTTCTGCCCCGGGGAGAGACAGCCAGGGCGCTTGCCCCTGAGGAGGGGACTGTGTGCCCGGGGTGCCCGCCCTCCCTGCTGTCCTCAGGACTGGTGTGGTGACACCCTGTGTGTTAGGTAACCCTGGATTCAGGTCTTGGGGTTTGGCTGGTGTTGGTGCTGTCAGTAGGTGTGGGGTTTCTGGGGTTTCATGACTACCCTTGAGTAACTAAGCGCATTCCTGTGGCTTGATGCTGTCACAGAGAAAGTTCACTCCTGCAGCGCGGGGGGATTAGGATGAACGGAATTTACATTCCTTTTTTTTTTTTTGAAGAATTATTTACTTTTATTTATTATTGGTATTTTTTCATTTGACCAGGGAGAGACAAAGGGAAAGTGAGCAGTAAGCTTCCAGGTCTAGGACTTGAACTGTGGTCAGCCATGTGGGAGTCCGCCCTTAACCACCACACCACCTGCCAGCCTCAACATCCTTTTCTGTATATTTGATAATAAGGACACCCAAGTGGATATTGCGATGTTCCCAGGGAAGACCACCCCTTCCCTTTCCGAGTTTGCTGGATCTGGGATTAGGCCAGGATGTCAGAAGAGAGAACATGAGGGCCGGCCCCACAGTGCAGGGGCTAAGTGCTGTGTGCTGGAGCTGGGTCCCACCCCAGCCGCTGGGAAACTCACTGGGCACGTGTGTGCTCACGGTCCTGATAGGAGGGAGGGATGGAGGAGAAAGGATTACCTGAACTTGGGTGTTTGGCTGAGGTCTTGCTTCCCTGATTAGAAGATTGAGCGCTTGGTGTTAGAAGTAGCTGGGATGGACAAGGACTACGGACTAGCAGCCTCACCCTCTTGGTTTTTTTTGGAGAGGTTTTTGCTATAGGGCGCGTGTGCTCGCCAGACAGAGAGAGACAGAGAGACAGAAAGCGAGAAATCACCCCCCAGGGGGGATGGCCACGCTGTAATCCCTTCTCCTCCATTCTCCTCTCGGGATCTTGGGCACGCACACACACGTGCCCGGCGTGAGTTTTAAGCCACCGGGTCTGGGACGCGAACCGCGGTCGACTACATGGGAGTCCAGCGACATAGCCATTACGCTAACTGCTGGTCCCTCACCCTCTTGTTTTAGAGGAGAGAAGATTGCTTTTTTTTTTCTTTTTCAGTTTTTGCTATAGGGCATGTGAGTTCTCCAGAGTGAGAGAGAGAGAGAGGTGGGGAGACAAAAGGAAAGTGAGAAATACCCCCAATGAGATGGCCATGCCACAATCCCTTCTCCTCTCGTCTCCTCTCAGGATTTTGCACCACATGCAGCTGGCGTGACTTTCAAGCTGCCAGGTCTGAGACCTGACCTGTATGTGCCATGTGGGAGTCCCGCTGCCTGAACCACCATACCACTGGGTGGCCCAAACGTGCACTTGAATTTCATTTTTACCAACTTTTTTTTTGAAGTCCCTGCCGAATGCCCTGCACACCAGGACCTCTGAGCTCTGAGCCTATGCCTGCAAGTGGAGGTGAACAGGCTCCTGGTGCCTGAAGCTGAGTTTTTGTGGGAGGTCACTACGAGGGTGAGCCAAGGCCTTTGAGGTCCAAAACAAAGGGAAGGAATGCATAGCCTGAGGCAGCAGAAGGTCCTTAGAGCATGGCCTGAGATTTGGGTTTGCCTTAAGCCAAAGTTGCCTAGAAGAACTGAGGGTCCAAAAGCACTGGTTGTAAGATGCTCATGCTTACACCTTTGTGTGAGGTTTGGCTTTTATTTTAAGACTTTAGGTTACCCTAAAATGGGATCCTCTCTCCCATTTCATAAGACCATTTGTCCTTCTTTTCTGGTGTAACTTTGCAAGTGAATTTATCACTTTGAATGAGTTTTACGTTATGAGAGGACTTTGAAAATTCGTGGAGTTAAAGGATGAAATTGGTTTAGTGTAAAAAAAATTAAAATCTATACATAGCTTTTTTTAATAGTACACAGTTTCCATGAATTTTCGATCACCCCATTGAATGAATCAACACATGTAAGCCCATACAACGCATGAGAAAATATAGACATGGAAATTTGCTCCTAGATCCTTCTGTAGTCCCACTCTCAGGAAGTGCCTAAGGAGAGTCCTGAGTACTGCCTCATGCTTTTTCCAGGGACAAGTGTGCAGATAGGAGTCTCTACCGAAGTGGACCATGCTATTAATTCATCGGGAAAATCATGATGTATTTTTCTTTTTTAAAATATATTATTATTATTTATACTTTCAATCATTGTACATCATTTAGCTTGTAGAGAGAATTTACCCAACTTGAAACACACTGCAGGCCAGTCCAGTTGAGAATACTATACACATTATCATCAAAAGATAACCATTTCTGTGTCCCACAGATGTCTTACTTGTCTATTTTTCTTCCTGATTTCCCTCACTACATTCTTCCCCTTTCCTACCCGCCTTCTCCACTGTCTCCAGTGTCTGTAAGTATTTTCAATGCTTTTATATCCTCCAATATTTCAGTCTCTACCATAGAGTACAGTCAGTGTATGTTAAGTGGAGATATACAATGTCTCTCTTTCATAGCCTGAGTTGCTTCATTCAGCAATAAATCTTCTGTATTCGTCCACTTTCTATCAAATGCCAGGGTTATTTTTATGGCTGAATAGTACTCCATGGAGTATATGGGCCCCACTATTTCAATCCATTCATCTGTTTGTGGACATTTGGGTTGGTTCCATGTCTCAGCAATTGTGAAAAATGCCTCAATAAACAGATGTGCAAGCACTTTTCTGACTGAGCAGTCGCCTTTCCTTTGGGTGGATACCAGGAGTAGAATTGCTGTATCATATGGTAGTTCTATTTGTAGATCTTTGAGAAACCTCCATACCGTTCTCCACAGTGGTTGGACCAATTTACATTCCCACCAACAATGTAGGAGAGCTCCCCTTTCACCACAGCCCCACCAACAGTTATCATTTTTTGTATTTTTAATCTTTGCCGTTTTGACAGAGGTTAGGTGGTATCTAATTGTGGTTTTAATCTACATCTCCCTTATGACGAGGGATGTTGAGCATTTTTTCATATGCTTTTTGGCTGTTCAAATGTCTTCCTTAGAGAGTTTTTTGTTTAGCTCATTTTCCCATCTTTTAATTGGATTAATCATTTTTTTGGGGGGGGGGATGGGCCACTTGAGTTCCGGTGTGTTCTGGTTATCAGTCCTTTATCTGAGGGATAGTTTACAAAAATATTTTCCCGTTCTGAGAGTTTTTGATTCACACTAATTACAGCATCTTTTGCTATGCAGAAACGTCTTAATTTGATGAATCCTATTTGTCTATTTTTGGGATTATTACCTGTGCTTTGGGGTTCTTATTTAAAAAGTCTTTGCCCTTGAGACCAGCAGGTGGCGTGGTGGTTAAGGTGCTGGACCCTCCCACATGGCTAACCATGGTTCAAGTCTCAGACGTGGTGCTTGCTTTCTCATTTTCCCTCTTTCTCTCTCTGTGTCTCTCTGGTCAAACTAAAACTAAATTGATGAATAAATAAAATTAAATAAATATTATTAAAAAAAAGATCTTTGCCCATCGAATATCTCCCAAATTTTCCCCTGTGCTTTCCACCAGTAGTTTTATAGTTTGAGGTCTTAGGTTTAGATATTTGATCCATTTTCAGTTGGTTTTTATTAATTAGCAGAGATAGGGGTTCAGGTTCTTCTTTCTGTAGGTGGATACCCAGTTTTTCCAACACCATTTGCTAAAGAGGTTTTTCTTTTCCCACTGGATTGACTGATATTCTTTGTAAAAAGTCAGTCGGCTGTAGGTTTTAGGGTTTACTTCTGGAATTTCCATTCTCTTCCATTGATCCACGTGTTTTTTTGTGCCAGTACCATGCTGTTTTAATTATCACAGCTTTATAATATATTTTGGAGTCAGGGTGTGAGATGCTGCCCACTTCACATGATTCCAGACAAATTCCATGCTTGTCTTTTCTAGATCTGTGAAGAATGTCTCTGGTAATATGATTGGAATTGGATTAATTTTGCTAGAATTGCCATTTTGATTAAATTAATTCAATCTAGGAACACGTGATTTCCTTCCACTTTATTGTGTCATTTTCAATGTCTTTTTAACATTTTTCATAGTTTTCCTTGTAAGGGTCTTTGACTTCCTTGGTTAAGCTTATCCTTAGGCATCTCATGCATTTTGTAGCTTTGGTAAAAGGGATTATTTTCTTCAGTTCTTCCTCAGTCAGCTTATTGTCTGTATGTAAAAATGGGATCAATTTTTGTATGTTGATTTTGTATCTTGCCACTTTACTGTGTTCATTTATTACTTTGAGAAGGTTTTTCATGGATACCTTTGGGTCTTCTAAGTATACCATCAAGTCATCTTCAAATAAAGATATTTTCAACTCTCTTTCCTTGAAAGCAAAAGCTAGTTCTTTGAAAAGATTAACAAGATTGACACACTGTTAGTTAGACTGATCAAGAAGAAGAGAGACCTCTCTAGGCTCGGACCTAGTTGGCGGCGATATGGCTGAATGCACCAAGAGGGTTGGCATCGCCAGTAAATACTGGACCTGCTATGGTGCCTCGCTCCGGAAAATGGTGAAGAAAACTGAAATCAGCCAACACGCCAAGTACACTTGCTCCTTCTGTGGTAATATGAAGATAAAGAGGCAGGCTGTAGGGATCTGGCCCTGTGGTTCCTCCATGAACACACTAGCCAGTGGTGCCTGGACCTACACCAACACTTTTCTTCCCATAACATGATGTGTTTCTCTGTGCAAAAATGTGTCGTGACTTTCTCAAAAGCCCAATATAATAACTGTTTAGTTTTTAAATTTAATATTAGAAACATAAAATAATTTTTTTGAGAGATTTTCACTGTAGGGCGCGTGCGCTCGCCAGACAGAGAGAGAGACATAGAGACAGAAAGCGAGAAATCACCCCCCAGGGGGGATGGTCACGCCGCAATCCCTTCTCCTCCACTCTCCTCTTGGGATCTTGGGCACGCACGCACACGCGCCCGGCATGAGTTTTAAGCCACTGGGTCCGGGACACGAACCGCGGTCGACTACGTGGGAGTCCAGCGACATAGCCATTACGCCAACTGCTGGTTCCCAGAAACATAAAATAATTTTGAAAGTCCTAAAAACCCTCAGAGTTGTGTGTGTGTGTGTGTGTATCCTTATTTGCTCTCTGAACCAAAGCAACCGTGGTAACTTCATGAGCAGAGTGAACATGCAGTAGACGCGTGTGCCTGGGTTTATGTGATACTGATTTCGAACTGGTCGTTCCAGGCTCGCCATCATGGATTCTCTATCAAAAGCCAATGGCACCTTTGCCCTAAATCTTCTGAAAGTGCTGACTGAAGACAACTCAAAAAATGTGTTTTTCTCGCCTATGAGCCTGTCCTCCTGCCTGGCCATGGTTCTCATGGGAGCAAAGGGAAACACCGCAGCCCAGATGACTAAGGTACAGAACCCTGTCGCAGGGCAGCAGTAAATGTTGGGCATTGTTGATCGAGCTGGGTTCCGCACATTTCACATCCCAAAGGGATTGTTCTCTGCACACAGTTGTGTGGGCATTGTAGGGGTGTGGATGGAGTTACAGGGAGGAACATGTTGCTGTAGGGGAGCGGATGGAATTACAGGGAAGATACACTACTGCTGCCTGAGCGCCTTGGGAGGAGTCCCTCCGCTGTTGGAATGGACAGTGGTGCTGCTTTCATGCTTAGAAATTTTCTTATTTAAGTGAGGACCTCATAAGGATGGCACTTGTCCATCAAAAATGAAGTCGTATTTCACTTATTTGTTGAGGAGTAACCAAACTCCAGCAGTTAGCAGCTCAGGATGACAGTTTCCTGTTTGCTGATTTTGGCGGATCTGGTGGTGCATCTGCCCACTGGGTGTCAGAGGGTCCCTTGTGTGTTAGAGGCTCAGTCAGGGTGCCTCTCGCCTCTTCTGTGTGGCCTTTTCTGCTTGGACCACCCACACACGCCTCTTTGGCAGAGCAGCCCAGGATCCCTGAGGCTCAATAGCTGAGTTCCTGGAGGAGCGGCCCAGGAGGGCAGGTTGGAGTGCAGGTGCTCAAGTCTCTGCCAGTGTCCCACTTGCTAAGGCCCCACTGGCTGGACTCTGAGAGGGACGGAGCAAAGGCATGGACCTTGAAGGCATGGCTCACCAGGGCCACCCATGACTGCTGTCATCTGCCCCTGACTCTTAATGGTTCCCAGCCTCCCACAGGTGAGGCCCCCTTCCCTTCCCAGGACCCCAAACTCTCATTCTTGGGGTCAGGCCCAGGCTAGTAGTCAGGAGAAACAGGAGTGAGCCAGGAATCGAGGCTCTTCTGATGCAGCTCCTCGGGAATTGTTCCCCGGAAATCAAGATTTGTAAACTAAAGGGACAAATTATCTCCTCGAATATACAGCAGTGAGACAGGGAGGGTTAACAGCATTGGGCACTATATTTAAAAACACGGTGCCGGTGTATTCGTTTGCTGGGACTGCTATAGAAGAACCTACCCGGGGCGGTCTAAAACCCAGGAGTTCATTTCTCACAGTTCTGAACTCTGGAGGTCTGAGACCAAGGTGTGTCCAGGGCCGGTTTCTCCTAAAGCCCCTTTCCTTAGCTTGTAGATGGCTGTCTTCTCCGTGTTCCTCATATTGTCATTCCTGTGTGTGTGCCTGTCCTAATCTCCACTTCTTAAAGGACACCAGTCATAGTAGATTAGGCCCACCCTGATGACTGCACTTTACCTTGATGACCCTTTGAGGACCCTGTCTCCAATTACAGTCATTTTCTGAGATATTGGGAGTTAGGACTTCAATATGTAGATTTGGGGTGGGAGACACAGCTCAGCCCATAGGAGGAGGTGTGTGTGTGGGGGGCGGCACATTGCAGTCCCTGAACCATAGCAATTCCCAGATCTGGCCAGGGGTATGTAAAAAGCCCTGATCCAAGGGGAAGGGACAGACTGCACTTTCTGGGGTTGGGAGCCACTGCACAGGCAGGGCTGGGAGGTCTGATCTCCAGCTGCGTTTGCAGCCACACCACAGGTAGTGAGCGTGAAGAGCCTGGGTCCATCGTGGGGCATTTCTGCTCATCCCTGTAACAACAATAAGAAAGGCCAGCTTTCAAGATCTTCCGCCTTTCATCAGGTGGATCTTTTAAGCTGTAGCGGGGATCTGCACACTCGTTAGGCTGAGTTTGGTGGTGTATCCATTTCCTGATGTTGGGGCGCGCTGCAGTTGTGTATTTGTATTCTGTTTTTTATTTCAGGCACTTTCTTTTAATGAACGTGGCGATGGAGGTGTGGACGTCCACCAGGGCTTCCAGCAGCTTCTCAGTGCATTGACCAAGCCTGACGCGCAGTACTTGCTGAGGACGGCCAACAGGCTCTTCGGGGAAAAGTCTTACGAGTTCCTCTCTGTAAGTCTCACTTGCTGGTTTTCATTAAGGACATCAAGGTAGGAGGTGGGAGGCGGGCTCGTGCGCTCCAGCGGAGTGGGGCTGCCAGTGTCCTTGCTCCGTATGTGCTCCCGGTAATTTGCCCCTTGTCACTTAGCAGTATGTCTCAAATTCTTTTCATCTCTGTGTAGGTGGGTCTTTCTCACTTTTATAAGTCTATTTTTATTTCTTTCATAGAAGAGAGAGGTAGACAGGCAACCCTAACAGGGTCTTCATGACATGATCTTCCAGTTCCACTATGCCATCTGCTGGCCCCTCAATGTATTTGTAAAGTTTCTTTCTTTATTTCTCCCAGGGGGATACAGGGTTACCATGACCCACCCCTGGCTTCAGCCAGCCCTGGGTCATGGGCACACACATGCCCAGTGTCCTGGGAGACCTGTGGATTCAAACTGAGGACCTTCCGGTGCGATCAGCCTTGGAGACCATCAATTTTACCACTGTGCAACCTCCTGACTCTCTCAATTTTCTTACCATCCCTCCTTTTTTTTAACATTTATTTTCTCCATTTAGTTTATCCACATTTTCTAAATTGCCTGCAATGACTACATATTTTTTCTTTTTTTGTTTGCAATAAGGTATGTGTGCTTGCTGAGAAAGAGACAGAGACAGAGACAGAGGGAAAGAGAAAGCATCTCTCAGGGAGTATGACCATGCCATAATCCTTTCTCCTGCATTGTCCTTTTGGGACCACGGTTTGAGTTCTGGACCTAGTGACTTGCTTTCTCACTTTCTCTCTCTCTCTCTCTCCTAGTCAAATTAAAATAAATGAATGAATAAATAAAATAAATAATTTAAAAACAAATAAATGAAAACAGTTGTTTTTCAGTGTGTTTAAAGGTTGTAACAAGTCATCCAAGGTCGCAAGTTGTTAGTAACTGGCTTGCTTCCACACCATTTTCTAGCTTGAAAGATTAAAAAGAACGTTCAAAAGCATTGATCAACAAGCAAAACAGTGAAATTGGCAAAGCATGAGCTATGCAAGAATGAAATGAAATGACCTATGACATTTCCTCTGGGCAGGGCCTGCAACATCCTGAGACGCATCATTCGGTTATTATACATAAGACAGTAATAATGCAAACATTTCATCTGCTCTTCAGAGTCACCTCAGAGGTGTCGCTGCTGCCGTCTCCTCTACAGAGGAGAACAAGGAGGCGCGGAGGGACTCACCGGCTTTTGTAAAAGCCACACCGCTGATACGTCGTAGATCTTAACGTTCCTGACTATGTCCCATCCCTTTTCTAAAGCTGCTCTGCTGAAGGGGAACTCTATGAAAACAGTCCTGGAAGGAGACATTAAAAATTTAGCTCTAGGCTATTAAAAAAAGATTGAGAAATCGTTCCATAATGTAGTTAACGTAACTGGCTATCTCTGCGCCTTTGTTTTCCATAAAATTGTATGCTCTAATTTTTTTAAAGTTTATTTTTCATTTCTTCCATGAGAGAGACACACAGAGAGTGATAGGCCCCCTCAGTAGGGTCAGCACACCACGATCCATTCCCAGCCCCAGCCAGCCCAGATAACGGACACACGCAGGCCTCCAGCGAGTGTAGGGAGGTCTCAGTTCATGAACCCAGCACCTTCCCAGGTGAGTCTAATTGCTTCACTGCTGAACTTTTTTTTTGACCCCAAATTTTCTGCTTTAATATCACATAATACCAGCGTCATCAATTTCATTCTCATTTCATGAAATGCATTAGCACAGCATAGTCTGAACTTTCCTGACAGTGGCTCACAGTCTAAAACTGAGCCATTGGGATGTGCAGGTGGAGTAATGGTTATGTTGCTGGATTTCCACGTTGTCAACCCTGGTTCGAGTCCCAGACCCAGTGGCTTACAACTCAACCAGGTGTGTGTGCGTGCACGCCAAAAATCAGGAGAATAGAGGAGAAGGGATTGTGGCGTGGCCATCCCCTCAGGGGGGTGATTTCTCATTTTCTGTCTCTCTGTCTCTCTGGTGAGTGCACACGCCCTATAGCAAACATCTCTCTAGAAAATAATAATAATTAAATAAATAAAACTGAGCCATTAGCATGGCAGCTCCGTAGACACATATAGCTATTTCCATTCCATTGTAATTAATAAAAATGAAATAAAATCGAATTTCCAGTTCCTCTGTCTCACTACCCCATTTTAGGTGCTCTTTAGCCACATGTGACACTGTTTTGGACAGAGCGATTTAGGATATATCTTTGTTATCACAGGAAATTGAGAATTACTCACTTCTCCCTGTGGGTCAGCAGGCCTGGGCACAGTCTCTGATCCTGCAGTGTAGAGCGAGCTGTGACACCCGCTGGGTTAATCCTCCATGGCACATGCAGGGCCTTATCAGGGGTCAGGCTCTGCGGAGCTACTCCCTTAAAGGATCCAGCAATTTGGGAAGTTTATTTGATCTTTGGCCCACTGTTTTACTTAGTTAATAAACTAAGATTAAATGGAGCTGAAAAATGGAAAGGTTGGTCTTGAGGCTGTTTCTTCATTTTGTTTTTGTAAATTACATCAGTCAAATCATGCAATGAATGGATTTTCTGATTTGGGACAATGAAGAAGTTAGCTTCAGGTATTGGCTCGGTGGCTGTG